CTTCCCTGGGCAGTGCGGAAAGATAGAAGGCACAGCGCCCGGTAACAACACTGGTCGTTTCGGTTTGTCTGACACATAATATCAGAGGGGGGAAAGCGAATCCGTACATCTCTATGGGAAAGCGCTTGGACGCACGTGTGAAGCAACAAGCCTACCTTACATATGGCGTCGCATCATGGCCACTCCCTGAACTGAAGCAGACCGATGGTTTCTCATTGAGGAGGGAGCATTTGCACTGGAATAAAAAAAAAGAGAGAGGAGGGTCAGGAGGCATTGTCCAAATGAATAATTCTACTTGCACCCACTATATCCTTTTCTTCTCCAGAATTTGGTGTGCTCTGCACCTGATTCGGCGTAAGAGGCAAACTTGAAAAGTTTATTTCCTACTCACGAGTTCCTAAGTAGCTTTTCTTCGGTCCTACCCATACAGTTTCCTAAAAAGTTTGTGCTGTGCAATATTGACAACCATTCAAAGATATATTTCCGATAGTGTAGACAGTGTAACATGGGGTACAGCTGATTGCAGTATCCTCTTTTTATTTTGGTTCATGCAGCAAAGTCTCTTCCCATGGAGAAAACAGTTGAGGACAAAAGTTAGGCTGTTGCAGGCATGACCCATTACTGCATGTGCTGCTCGAATGCCATTAGCAAGTGAATGTACAACGAACATTTAGTTAACTTTTTTGTGGCAGGGAGTTGGTGTTTAAACGCATATTTCAAAGATTGATTTTATGAATGAAACCAGGGTGTGAGGATTTACAGTGCAAGGGGGTTCTGGTAAATTTAAGGTATTTGTTATTATTGCTGGGATGGTAGATTGGGGAGCATAACTTGACAAGATGAAAAATCCGTTATGTTAATAATACCCTCAAAGTTATTGATTAGTGTTGTTTGACATAGGTCTTGTCTTGCATATGCGTGTTCTGGGTTGGAATGAACGATTGTTTTATACTGAGTTAGCTTAATTATAGCTGGTGTTCTTCAAAAATTTTTTTGATGGTGGCCTAGCATGTGTTTAGTATTGTTAATAACCTGTTCACTATGCAGTTTTCAAGAATGGTTTTGGGTAACATGAGCATTAAGTACTTATAGTATTTTATGTCAGAAAGATGTTGATAAAATACAGTGCTTTTAGTACTGGGGCCATTTATGGTAAAAAAGTGCGGAGATATTTTATGTCAGAAACACATATTTCGTTAATTAAGGAAGCAGATGCATTGGTTGGTATTAGCAGATTGACTAAAAGTGTGCAAATTGTTAAATATCTTTGTTTAATTGGTCGAGTTATCTATCAAACTAGTCATATATTATTAGGATTTTGTACAAGATTGATAGTGTCACAGCTGTTACGAATATTTTCGTAGATTATCAAACTGTTCACAAACAGTCTGATATGAAATAAATGCATTTTAGAAGGTCATTACTAGGCTTGTGCGAATAGTGAATTTTAGGTTCAAAATGAATTCGAAGTGAATAGTGATTTTGATCGAATAATTTCGAATTGAATTCAGATGGTATGTACGATATATAAAAAAAGGAATATTTATCATGACCTAACTAACCTGCACAATATTTCCTTTGAACAGAAATAGGCATTCTATGCGAATTCCTTTTTTTTTTTCATTCAAAGGAAGTCGAAACAACCTTGAGTAGTAGTTTCGGTAGGATGCGAGTAATAACCAGTAAGATACCTAATGTTTTAAAATTTATTATACTGGTATCATATAAGCCATCATAAGAAGCGAAATGAAGAATTGATTTGAGGTTAACATGTTTCCTTAAAGGGGCCCTGCAAAACTTTTGCAAGTAGCCATGGAGCCAGTAAACATGCTTGTTGCCTCACAAATTTACCGCCGCAAAGTTTCTAGAATTAGTCCAGTACGAGCGGAGTTTTGAAAATTAGTCGCATGCTGCAATTGCATTGTCTCTTCTCGTCCTGACGCAATAGCTGGAAGTTAAACAGGGAGGAATGTCGCAGCAAAAGAAAATAAGTCACACACACCTCGTGACCTTGAGTATCTCTTTTTTTTTTCCGAATCAATCAATCAATCAATGTTTCTTTATAGCATCAAAAATATACATTGTGAGTAAGTATGCAGGAGGAGGTCCCAAGGTAGTAAACTGCAGGCGGGACCTCCTATGTTAATACAAGGAAAAGCTAAAATACGAATAAGGAAAGAGCAAGTCACATGAACATTTAGAACTTTTTTATAAATAAAGCAAGATATTGAAAATTAACAAAATGCAGCAGTTACACGTTTAATAGAGTCTTTTTCAATTTTCTTTTAAAAACATGAATGCGCATTAAGTCTTTCACATCATGTGATAAAGAATTTCATAATGAAGTTGATGAAAAAACAATGCTCATTTTTTCATAATTAGTGCGAACTTCAGGTAATAAGTTATGGCCGATGGCAAATCTAGTTTAATTGGAATTATTCAACAAGGCAATAGGAAATATGTCGATAGTGAGGGTGTAGCGGAAAATTTTGAAAAACAAAACACACACATTATAAATGTACATTTGGGAGATTGGTAATACATCAAGCTGGCAAAAAATAGCATGTGATGGCGTTTGACGTGAAGCAAAAGTTATGAGTCGCATCGCTTGTTTTTGAAATATCTTTAATTGGTAAATGTGCAATGAATATGAATTACCCCATAATGTAATGCAATAACTGAGATGACTGTGTATGAATGCATAATACAATGCCTTCAGAGTTTCGATGTTTAAACAAATTCGTGACTTGACCAATGCCCTGATACCGTATGATATCTTTTTACAAACAGAATTGATATGTTGCTGAAATTTCAGATGTGTGTCCATTATAACTCCTAAAATTGACGTATGATCACTTAAAGAAATAACTACTGAGTTCACATAAAGGTAAGGAATAAATGCTAGTTTTTTGTTTGATGATTAAGAAAGCATAAAACAGGTTTTGGAAGGATTAATCAACACTCTATTATAGTTGCACCAGTCAACAAGACAATTAAGGTCAGCTTGAAGTCTTGACACGAGAGTCGCTAAATCCAAGTGATGAGAAAAGAGAGTCATGTCATCAGCGTAAAGTAAACAAGAAGAATAATTAAGGCAACGTGGTAAATCATTTATGAATATTAAAAATAATAACGGACCCAAAATTGAACCTTGCGGAACACCTCTGGTAATGGAGTTGGGACTGGATGTAAAATTTTCGACCGGGACAACCTGAAACCTATTATGAAGAAAGCTCTGTAATAGCGTTAATTCGGGACCAGTTATGCCATAGTACTGGAGTTTGCGAAATAGGATGAAACAATCAATACTATCAAATGCTTTAGTAAAGTCGACGAAGACAGATCCTGCGATGTTACCATTATCAATGAATGATCTGATTTTGTCAGTGAAAAAAGCAATTGCAGTATCACTGGAAAGACCAGCCCTAAAACCAAAATGACAAGAAGAAAGTATGTTAAATTTGCCTAAATATTCAGATATTCTTATTTCAATTAGTTTGTCCAAAATATTATTGAGGAAGGGAAGGACAGATATGGGCCTGTAGTTGCACATGTTGAGGGAATCACCTTTTTAAAATACTGGCACTACCTTTGCAACATTTAATTTATCCGGGAAAACACCGAATACGCGGCTTTTCAGTGTGATCACGCACATACTCGTGGGCAAGTGGCAGCCTCCCGCAGTGGCCCCGGTAACGGCGAGTGCGCCATGCTCAAACTAGCCAATGGCTGTGACAAGTGATTTTTCAGCTTGTAGTGTCATTTGCCGAGGGAAGAAAGCAATTTATAGCTTTGAAAACTTATTGTGAATTACAGGCCGCATGCTGCGCTATAATATTTGCCTTGCGTATTCTCGGTAGCCTTAACTACGGATCGGCAGCGTTTTCTGATCATGTTCAGGAAGTGTAGCAGGGCCCCTTCAAATTTGAAGGAGGGCTTCTTGGCAAAGCGAATTTTTTTTTCGATAGGTGTTTTTACAGTTTAGCACTCTTACATGGCAGTGAAGTTACTTTTACAGGCGGTGACAAGCGGATTAATAAACATTTATTAGTTCATTGCGAATACTTCGAAAGTAATCGATAATTTAAATTTCAATCGAAGTGAATTCGAATACTCAACTATTCGTTCGAATATTCGAAGCATTATTCGCACAAGCTTAGTCATTACTCATTAGTACAGATGATACAGAGCAAAGCCCCTGCTTGCAAAATAAGAGCTCTTGATATAAAGGACCCATAAACCACCTAAACGTTATAATTTAGTGGTGTGTTGTAGTTGTGCACAAGTCTACAATGAACATGTAGCTATGATAATTTTTTGGAATGTTTCTGTAATAGCAGATTTACCGTACTTTCTCTCGTATAGCTGGGACCAAAAAATGTAAAAATGTGTCTAAAAGGTGGGGATGTGGGTATCTGGAGAGGTTCAGTGCAGTTCTTTTTTTTTTTTTGCAAAGCTAGTGATTTAGCACTTTTGTTACGAGCCACAGTGTTTGGTATGCTAGTGCGCACACGTGGACAACGTGATGAAAAACACCAAGAAGCAAAGGCAGCTTCTTGCAGTCTAACTGGAAGCTGTTGGCTCTTGTTTGACCACTCGCAGCATCTGTTGTCGATAACATCACAGATGCAACATGTCGATGATGCACACATCATCAGGGAAGCCAGAGAGGCCCAAAGTGGAGAAGGGATTGTTTCTTGGAATGTGCGACGTGTCCACGACTTTTAGCGGTGCCACGTGCGAAAACGTTCATGGTGGCAGCATTCTGACATGATGCGTGTGTTTATTGGAAATGTCTAAAAAATTTTGAATGTGGTTTAGGGGCCCTTTCAGTGCTCCTTTTAAGAATTGCAGTTGATTAAAAAAAATGTTTGGGTGCTCTGCTGTGGCATACCTTATAATACAAGGTTGACTGTTTGGAAATGGAAGTCAGTGAAGTGCAGTTTGGTCTGTGAGTGGCCTCTTGCTCATCAGGGTAGCCTATGGTTTCTTCACTGCAGTGTCATCATAGTGGACGAAGCACATGAGCGCACCCTTCACACAGACATCCTGTTTGGCCTGGTCAAGGACATCGCACGGTTTAGGCCAGACCTCAAGTTGCTCATATCCTCAGCAACTCTGGATGCTGAAAAGTTTTCTGAGGTGAGGACCCATGTCTGTTTCATCGTTGCAACTTGGGTGTTAACAGCAAGCTCAACTTTTTCACTGACTTTGTGGTGCTCTACTAAGGTACTACGTAGCAGCTATTAGACTGCTACTTTCGTTTTCATTACAGTAGATTCTTGGTAAACGATAATCTATTAAATGGAATTTCTGCCTAAATGGAACAACTGTCTCAGAGATAATGGTTTAGTACTTTTTGCACCCGTTAGTAAAAACGTTCGTAAAAACTGAGTTTGTTGAAACGTTAGTAAAAACTGCGTTTTGTGCGTTTGTCGTCTTCTTTTTTTCGCCTGCATTTCCTACCGGAACCATTGAGCTTATTTCTTGCATATTACTCTGCTATGTAAATCTGACAGACAACATCGAAACGCACCATCGGGAGATATCCGAAGATCCCAATATCTACGACGGTGTTGGGTGATTCACAGACCAAGTACTTGTTCCAGTATTTCGACCCTCTGCTGCAAGGAACACTGGTATTCGTAATGCATTTGGGGGCATTTATCGGTGATGTTGACTCGCTGCTCGACCTAGTTGTTTCATCGACAAGAACTCTTGTTCTTCATGTTGGGAGCAACGACCTGGCAAGAAAGAGTGGGCTAGCAATGTTTCGCTGTTATCGACATCTCCTTGACATAGTTCACGAAGAGTGTCTAGCCACTTCAACAGCCTATTGCGAAGTTTCTGCAAAGGCTCCAGTCATGTGTCTATTCTGGACCACATGTTCGAATGGCTATCACCTGGGCAAGTATTGGCCGCCAATGGACTGCACGTGAGCTTTGAGGGCGTCGCGTTGATGTCAAGTCACATCAGCCAGCTGTCCTTCGACTCCCCAGGAGAAGCAACCTCCACGAGCTAGAGTGACTGTGTGTCTTTGCCCGAGTGCGGTCGAGGGCAGACTACGCGAATCAGCCACCAGACCACGTCAAAGGCCATGAATACCCGCAAGGCACAACGTGACACAAGGCGGCTAAAGATTAACAATCCGAGCACTAATGCTTGTTCTTCTGGCATCAAGCCGCCCGTGACGGAGCCAAGAACCGGTACCATGCTCGCCGATACTTCACTTCAGCTAGTAGGCATTGTGTTAAACCACTACCGGTCTTTGCTGAAATCATTGATAAACAGGGGGCAACAGCTGCTCAGTCAGTATGCCTTATCTCCTAAAGAATCGTCGTCTCTAAACACGTATGAGCAAAAGAAACGCCACGAACTCAATGCACATAAACTGTGGAGATAGGTTTGCACTAGGCTTACCTGCTAAGCGCAACCGTGTAGGGATGAGACGTCCTCCACTGCCGCTGCGTGTGAAGACGCTGCGGCCGGGTTCGTCGATTTCTCCGGCACAACGCAGAAACCATGCACGAGCGCAGGATAACGACAACAACGGGTTTATTAACCCAAGATGCAGCACAGTGTGACACTCACAGGCTTGCAGGCCGAATAAGGAACTCCGCAAGACCGAGCAAGTATGCTTGCCTAGGGCGCGACGACTGCCGCACAAGGGCCAAAGTCGAACGCACGAACGAGAAGCCGCATGCTGAGCAGCGCGTCAACCTCTCGTGGAGGCCTGAGAGCATCTGCCACGACGAGCGAATCGTCGGGTGCAACATAGCTCATAGGAGAGGAGGATGTCACGCGCGCCCAAAGGGAAATGGCGCTGCGTTGTGACGTAGGCCCGCGCAGCGTGCCCGGACATGCCAGCGCGGGAAGGAGCCGACGGTTGACTGGCCCAGACCAAGAGGCGCCCTGACAGCCATCTTGGCGGATGCCGGTGCTTATGCGCGCCCGGGCTACGCTGTTGGCGCGCTGGAGAACGAAGCGCCTGGTATAAGACCGAGGCCGCCCTAAACACACCGTAGTAACAGCATCCACCGACACCGAAAAAACTGGGGTCCAGCTCAGTGCCGTTCACGAGATCGATGGGGGCACCGGTGTCTTCGTTCGGCGGCGTCTCAGCAGGAACCTGGGGCCGCGGAAGGGCGGCGGACACTGCAGCAGCGATGGCCGACTTGATTGAAGAGTCTGCGACGAGCGCCGCTACGACCGCCTGAAGGGAGTCGGTCGACAGGGCAGGTTGAAGGCCCGGGCCAGGCAGCATTGCCCAAGTAGACAGGACCGCAGGGGCACCGCCAGACTTCGCTCGGTGAACCCACGAACGGAGGTGGGTAGCCTCGTGCACCAGCAGGACACCACAAGCGTCACAGTAGGAGGCCTCAGGAACAGGCGGCATCGAGGCACCTCCGGAAGCGTCTAGCAGGTCCGAATGGGTGCGTCCGCAGAAAGGACGCGGGACGGACTCGGGGTCTAACCCCACCCAGACTTTGCGTTGCTTGGACTAGCGACAAGTCGACACGAAGGCGACCGGGGCCTGAGTGCCTTGTTGGAACGTCTACGTAGCGACTTCACAACGAGGCGGTGTCTTGTTAGCCGGGGCCGGGGAGCATTCGACGGAGGCGGCATGGACGCGGCCGGTGCCTGCTGAACGACCGAGCGCGCGGCTGGTCTCCCGGGCTTTTTCTTGGAGGAACGGGCCTTCGAGAAGGACATCACGAATGCTGGGGTGTCAGTGAAAAGCAGAAACACAACTGAATGTGCGGCCCCGGAGGCGCGACAGGCTGGCCCAATAAAGAGAGCCTACTCTGTCAAATTGAAGGTTGCGTGAGCCAATAGGGTGTACGCTTCCCCTTCTCCCGCCGACTACGCGGAAGATACCCAGTGAGAGAGTGAGCCACCGGGGAAAGGGCTTTTCTCTCTCGAGCAGCCGGGAGCGCTGGAACCGGGTGGATATTCCGTGCACAGTGCAACATAGCTCATGGTGTTACCAGGGAGAAAGCTCGCCAGGTAGCCGTTACTGTTGCTGCTGGATCGGCAATCGCACAGCAGCTATAATCTCCGCTCCCTTACATTGAGGGGATGATGTCCCGCTACATGCTGGGGGCGAAAATCAGCCTAGGTGCGCTTTCGTAGGTTGTACCGGTGGCGTGGTTTGGAACCAGCCTTATCCCGGTTTTTCTGCTGTACGGTGACCGCCTCCCCCTCCCCGAAGTCGTTGCTGCGGGCAACGAAAGGTTTGAGGTCGGAGACGTTAACTGGACTGCTGACTGGTCTCCCTTGGGAGTCAGCCAGCTTGTATACGAGGGGCGACACTTTGGTGTGCACTCGGTATGGGCCTATCCACCACGAATGGCACGCCGTCGACATAGCAGTCGAACTTCCAGAGAGCAAAAACTATCGCGAGACATTCCCTTTCTGTGATGCTATAGTTACGCTCGGCGGTGTTAAGTGACCGGCTCGCATAGGTGACTGGCCGGAGGACGCCGTCGTGGTCCTGAAGGAGTACCGCACCGAGACCCAGGTCGCTCGCGTCCGCTTGGACAACGAACCCCCTGTTCAGGTCGGGCAGCTTTAACTCAGCTGTGGCCACTAGAGCTTAGGAAAGGGCCTTGAAGGCTCGCTCTTGTTCTGGCCCCCAGCTCCATCGTGTCGACTTTTTCAAGAGTGCAGTCAAGGGCGCTTGGAGGGCCACTCAGTTTGGGATGAACTGTCGATAGTAGTTCACCATGCCCAAAAAGCGCCTCAGGCCCTGAATGTTTGCCGGCGTCGGGTACTCCACTATGGCACGTACCTTCTCCTCGCACGGCAGAACACGACCGTTCTGAATGGCAAAGCCTAATAGTGAGATGCGAGTCTCGGCTATTTGAGCTTTCTTCGGGTTCAATGTCAACCCGGCGGCACGCAACCTCCCAAGGACATCCTCCAAGTGGTGAAGGTGTTCTTCGAACATTCGAGAGAAGATGACGATGTCGTCGAGGTACGCCATGGCGTGTTGCCATTTAGCGTCCCGTAGAACGCGGTCTATCAATCTCTGGAACGTACCTGCAGCTCCAGAACAGCCAAACGGCATGCGGGTAAACTCGTACAAACCTCTGTGAGAGGTGAACGCAGTTTTCTCCGCGTCAGCCTGCTCCATCTGAACCTGTAGGTAACCGCGGCTAGCATCCAAGGTGCTGAAGTAGCAAGCACCGCCTAGAGCAGCCATGATCAAGTAGTTTGGCATAGGATAAGCATCCTTCCTCGTGACCTCGTTCAGCTGGCGGTAGTCCACACAGAACCGGTGAGAGCCGTCTTTTTTGGGGACCATTACCACCGGTGAACCCCAAGGACTGTTTGAGCGTTGGATAACTCCGGTCTCAATCAACTCATCCAGTGCCTGGTCAATTGCTTTTCTCTTTGCCGCACTAACAGGGCAAGGATTGCATTTCAACGGTTGTGCGTCATCTGTGTCAATCCGGTGCCTCACCAGAGAGGTGCAACCCGGGCGTTCCGTGAACCTATCACTGAAACGTGTCAACAGCGACGACAGGCTTGCTTTCTCGCGTTTCGACAAGCTGTCCGGCAAAGGCGGCAGCGAGCCATCCGAGCTGCTGCTTAGCGGGGAAGTCACTGGCATAGTCGAGACCTCGTTCACTACGGCAGCGTTATGCTCGAGGGAAAGCTGTATGCACGGACCGTTTTCCGCCGCGCCGGCTAAAGGACCAGTCTTGGCGTCAGAGGGGGAGACGCGGGCCGCGGGGGCAGCGCTTGGTCTCCTTTCCTCCTTCCTCCTCGTGGCGTCCGGCGACTTACTGGCAGCCGAGACCACGGGAGGTGCAGCAAAAGGCCGCAGGGCGTCTGAAGGGCCATCCCTGTAGCCTCCGCTTGCGAAGTCAATCACGATACCTGTGCGCGTGAGAAAGTCGCGACCGAGAATCATAGGCACGGAAAGACCAGGGAGATGCACACAGCGCTGTCGGCGTGCGCGATTCTCCCAACGCACAACTAACCGCACAGCGCCGCACGAGGTGGCAGTACCGCTGGCGAGGTGGAAGGCAGTGTCGCAAGCTCGAATGCGGACAGATCGGTCGCGCAAATGAGCCCTAACCTCTTCGCCGAACAGCGAGATAGAAGCCCCGCTATCCAGCAACGCCGCAAACTCT